GATTTAATCCCCTCCAATGTGTTGGGCTTGTACTTGGAACTTAAGATCAGATGATAAGGGAGACCTTATGTCTGAGGTCACAGCATGGTGGACAAAGTAAACAGATATTTTTACTTTCATACATTATGGGAAAATCTCTATAGCAGAAGAAACAACATGTGCACTGCAGCACAGAGGAGGGACATCTCCCACACATATGTACAAAATGAATGAGCAAATGGAATTTTTTTGAAATGTCATTTTCAATTTTGATTTCTAATTACATAGAAAATTTTCTGTATATGGAATTGCTGGGTCAGGAAATGTACATTTTACTTTTGGATGTGTAATTGTTACAGTTCACAGTCTGCTAAGAAAATAGCAGAGGCTCTCAGTTTCAATAAACCCTTTTCATATCGGGGTCCTGTTAAAATTGCTCTTCTTTGCTCATAATAAAGGTGAAACAAGAGATTCATCATTGTGATTTGCGCAGCTTTCATTATCAATGAGGTTATATGTTTCATATTTGGCCCGTGAACACGTGCTTGGTAGCCACTTCTCTGGAGAGCTCATCGCAGCACATTGTCTACGTGACTAAACTGCACGTTGCCAAGGCTTCATCCACTTGCCGTTTACTTTTCATTTTTCTTAAGAATCTTTTCCAGAAATGATTGCATTATATTCTAACTTGTTTTTCATTTCATTATATTAATTATATAAATCAAGCTACATGGGCTTTATGGGCGCCATATTCCTATATATTTTGTTCATTGGTTTGCCTTTTTTAAAAAGGTATTTTATTATTTTTATTTATGTGTATGAGTGTATTGCCTGCATGTATGTGAGTGCACCCGTGTTGTGTAATGCTGCGGAGGTCAGAAGAAGGCTTCACACTTCCCTGGAACTGGAGTTAAGGACGGTTCATAGCCGCCATGTGGGTGCTGGGAATCGAACCTGGGTCCTCTGCATGAGCAGTCAGTGCTCTGAACCACTGAAGTATCTTTCCAGCTCTTGCCTTTTTAAAATTGAATGAAGCTGCTGTAATGCATATTTCTAAGACAAATCACAGTGCTATACCATCAAAATAAAAGCAGCCTCATTTTATAAAGTCCTCATCAGGAATCTTCTGACAACTTCTGTGCTGGATAGCTTTGGTTGTCAACTTGACATGCTTGGGTAGAGAGAACCTCAGCTGAGGAATTTCCTCCATTGAATTGACTGTGGCCGTATCCATGGGGCATTTTCTTGACTGTTGAGTAATGTGGGAAGCACAGCCCACAGGGGTGGTCCTGTAATTATATAAGAAAGCGGGCTGGGCATAGGCCAGAATAGCAAGCCAGTAAGCAGTATCTTGCTTGGTCTGTGCTTCAGCTCCTGCCTGTAGGTCCCTTCCCTGAGCTCCTGACTTGGCTTCCCTTGATGATGGACTGTGAGTTGTAAGTCAAATAAACCACTTCCTCCCGAAATCGGTCTGGTCAGTGTTTTTACCACAGCGATGGAACCAAACCGGGACAGCCTCCTATGTCCGCCGATGGATTTCATCCCTGAATAGCATATTCTATCAGTCCCTGGTAAAGCTGCAATGAACACATGACCACTGTATCCAGGGTGTGAACAGACAGCCAGGATCTTTTCTAGCACTTTCAGTCTCTCCCCTTTGTTGACTTATTTTATTCTTTGGCACATCAGAATTATTGCAAATCCTTTCAATAAGCAGTTCTTCTTGGACCTATAAAAGAAGAATGAACCACACACTTTTGAAAATAACTTCTCAGTCACAGACAGAATTTTGCATGTATTTAACAACTTTGGCTTAACTACATGTGTTTATCTCATCAGAAGAGTCTTTGATAGTTGGAGATATTTACACCTAACAGTAGAAATATCATATACGTGTGTGTGTGTGTGTGTGTGTGTGATTTCTTCTGCATCTTCCCACAAAAGCTGCAATACACACACACACACACACACACACACACACACACACACACACATGCAGCATTTTGAAAGAGAAGGCAGAAAGCAGGTGAATTCAAATAAACACCCAGGTCTAATCAAGTGGCATCACCATGATCATTTACCAGATAACAAGGATGCTGGCTTTGTACAGAATAGTGGTTATTACACTGCAGGTTAGGACACATAGTTCCTTTTACTTCTGTTACACAAGATAAATCAGGCAGACATGGAAACAAATGGAGCCATTTCTGAGACCATCTTCCTCTATTTTATTTTTTAATTAAATAATTAATTATTAATATGTCTGTGTGTATCTGCTAATACACGTGTGGGGGTGGGCATACCTGCATATGTTTGTGCACGCATGGAGAGAAAATGGTTGACGCTAGATCTTTTTCAGTTGTTTTCCAACTTATTTTTAAGAGAAGGTCTTTCCCTAAATCTGGAGCTTGCTGATTCAACTGGGTTGTGGGTTGGACAGAGAGCCCCAGGAATCCTTCATTCTTTTCCTGGAAAGTTTCAGGGTTAATGTTCACGTTACTTCCTGGAAAGATGTGTGTGTGTGTGTGTGTGTGTGTGTTAAGGTGCACGTCAGTACTTCCTACTTTTATGTCAGTTTTGTGGATCAAGTTGAGGTCCTCATGCTTGCACAATGAGAACATTTCTGACTGGACTATCTCCAAAGTCCATCAGCAAGCTCTATTTGAAATTGAGACAAATCAGATATATTTACATTAAATGGCTCTACCTCATGTCTCTTTGAAGGTTATGTCTAAGAACCCAAAGACTAGTAGAAAACGTCCTGCTCCAGCACAAAACCTCATAAAACCTCAATAAACAAAAGCTCAGAGCCCTGGGGAAGGATATTTGTACCCCCCACGGATTAACACTTCACAGGTGCTGGGGATTGCTTATTCACAGCCTTCAGTCTGATCCAAGTCGACTCTAATGAAACATTAACAGTTGGGCCATGGCCTAGGAGTTTGGTCCTTTCCTCATGAGGAGTCATAGCATTTTCTGTCAGGCACTGCCAGTCCCATCCACGCTCACCTGCAGCTTGTGCTCCAGCATCATCCCCTGCTCTCTCTGAAGTCTCTCCCTTTGTCTTCCCATCTTTTCCTGAATTTGGACAATGTGCTTTTGGAATCTTCTCTCTTGAGCATCCATCACTCGCTGTTGCCTATTCTGTTCCTGTCTCAGCAGGTGCTGTTTCTTCTGAGCCACCTCTTTCTTGGTTCGCTCAGCTGTTCCACGGAGAGGGAAGAAAAGAGTCAGAACTGAGCTATACTCTCTTGGGCTCAGAGGAAACTCTGAATACTCCCTTTGGCTGTCCTAGTAGGATCATGATTCTAAACATGATGCAAAGGCACCGACTGATGGAAATGCATCACCAACACTCCTTATTTGCAGACCTAGGAGAGATCATATTCCATGGGAGGAGGCGGTGTTTTACTTCAGGAGGATTTTCCTATCTATCAATCAGAGAGCTTTGCAGGAATCTATCCAACCCTCCAAGAGTTGAGCCCAACCCTGTACCTGTAAGGCCTCTCTGTCCATCAATAAGGGCTTTGTCTGACTGCAGGATGGAGCTTTCTACAGCAGCCTGTGACTGAAGGAAGCCTTGGAGGATATCATTTGCCTGGGGACCCAAGAAGGAAAAATAGAATTCAAGCAGTGTTTAGTCTTCTGATGATGTAGTTATTGTTCAATAAAATATCTAATCTGCCTATAAACTTTGAGTCCTGCTTAAGTCCCCACAGGGTTGTCTTAATTCTGTTACCACAATAAAGCTGTGCTCTTTCGAGACATGAAAACCCCTTGCAGCAGCCGCCCAGCCAGGTCTCCAACCTCAGGTCCCAGCAATGACGCCCACCAGCCACCCCAGGGCACAGCCCCAACCAGATTGATAGGGAGTTCCACAAGCACATCTCCTCCACTGTTGCCCACACAAGTGTACATTCTGTCTTTTGCATTCAGGGATTTTCCATTTTCTTAGCTAAGGTAACATCTACAGACACTTCAGCTTCTGTCTCCAATTTTCTATAACAGTTTTTCTGGGCTGCTTTCTTAGTTTTTGTTATTGTTGTTGAGGTATTATTGACAAATCAAAATTACATGTTTAAGCTAATACCATGTGATGTCTTGATTTATTATATATTGTAAAGTCTTTATTGTAATGACTAATTACTAGTTACAAACGAATTACAAACTAATTTATATATCAAGTACCTCAAAGTTAGCTTTTTATTATAACACTTCTGGTTCATTTTTAATATTTTATTTATTATTTTTATTTTATGTGTATGAGTGTATTGCTTACATATATGTAAGTACACCTGTATTGTGCAATGCTCTCAGAGGTCTGAAGAGAGCTTCGGATCCCCTGGAATTGGAATTATGGATGGTTAGTAGCCGGCATGTGGGTGATGGGAATTGAACCCAAGTCTACTGCAAGAGCAGCCAGTGCTCTTAACCACCGAGCCATCTCTCTAGCCCCCTTGTTTTCTCTTTTAGTGACTTTTAGGTTTACTATTAATTATTTTAACTATAGTTACCACTTGGTTTTCAAAACTTACATACCTTGTAACTACATGTTTTATTGACTGACAGTATTTCCTTTTTCCCTCTGTGCTCAGCCCCTGGTAATCACTATTTTACTTTATGCTAATATTAATTTGACTTACCTTGTTGCTGTCCCCATCCTCGATCTTTCTGTCTCTGTCTCTGTCTTTCTTTGTCTCCGTGTCTTTTCTTGGTGCCACTGAAAGTAAGTTAGGCAGTATTTATCTTTCTGTGTCTGGCTTCCTTCAGATTCATCCATATGTCACATATGGCAGCACTTTTTAAAGGCTGAATAGTAATCTATCATATTGATATGGAATAGATGATAGAGAGAATAAAATAAAGTAAGAAGCCTTCATCAGTTAGTAGTATAAACAGCATGGTACTGGTGTAAAGACAGACCAAAGGAACAGATAGGAAGCCAGGAAAGAATGACGTTAGATCTCTATCTGATACTTCACATATGAACGAACTGAAACTGGATGAAAGATTTAAACCTAAGACTGGTACTTTAAGAGTCTTAGAATGAAACTTAGGAGAAAAACCCTTTGACAATGGTCTTTGTAGTGATGTAGAGGATACACCAGAAGCATAGGCCAATGAATAAAGGAGACTACTAGCAACCAAAAAGTTTTCTGCACATCAAAGTAAGCAATCAACAAGATGAAAGGTAACACGGTATATGAGAGAAAATATTTGCATGCCATATACATGATAAGTAATTGGCATGCAAAGAACACGACATCATACAACACAATAGGAAAGAAAACATGCCTAAAAATGGGCAATAGCTTTCAAGAGACATTTTTCAAAACAAAAATTCAAATGACAAACAGGTATTTGGAAAAGTATTAAACATTACTAATCCTCTGTGAAACACAAACCCAAACCACCATGAGATGCCATCTCACCTTTGTTAGCATGTTAATATCAAAAAGTCAGAAGAGAGGGATTGTGCTGAGTTTGTAGAAAACACAGGGACCCTAGTAGATCTCTTAGTGAAACGGAAGCTGGTTACAGTCACTATGTAAAACAGCATAAAGATTCTTTAAAAGAAAACACTCTGAGTCCCTAAGGGAGAGCTCTCAGCTCTGCCAGTGAGTGGCAAGGTAAACACAGGCAACTTACGAGGTCATCTACATGTGACATTTCTCTACTGCATAAAAGTGGAAGACTTTGCACAACTGACCAAGTTTTAGAGAATAAGTGGCTGCAGAATGTGTGTCCCTGGATAGGACATCTGCATTATAACTCACCCACCCATGGCTCAGGAACCCTTGTAGAATAAGGGGCAGAAAGACTGTAAGAACCAGGGTTGGTCCATGAACATAGGGAAACAGAGGTTTTCAAGCCACATGTGAACTTGCAGCAATGGAGGCATTGAGCACAAGACCCATGTCAACTCAATCAGAGAAGGATCCAGAGTGGAGCAAGGGAAACGGGTGGCCGCCCAGCCCCAGCATGGGAACTTCTGAAGACTGGTTACCACTGGGTGAGCATGAATAGACCTTACTTTTGCTCTCTAGATAGGCTGACTGGACTCCAGCGAATGAATTTGTACCAAAGGACATCTAGGTACAAATAATTGATTGGATAAGACTTAATATGTATGGCGGAATGCATGAGGTTCAGCAGGGGTGAGTGGGAGGAGCATGGTTGGGGGAGTGGGTCTAAACTTGATTAAGAAACATTGTATGAAATGAACAAAATCTCAATAAAAATTTAAGAAGACAAAAACAAAGTGGAAGATAGTACTACCTGGTTTATAATTTTGAGAACTGAGTTGGTAATTCATCTATGGCACCTGAAACGGTCCCTGGTGTAGGAAATGAATGTGGATCGTCTGCCATCCAGGAGGTTCTTCACCTCATTGTGCTGTCAGTACATACACTTATCCTAGATATATGCCAAGACCTTCTAGCTATACCACATTGACCATCACTCTCATGCCTCACCTTAACTCCTTTCCTGGGCACCTGTCCATATTGCCACTCAACCTTCTTCTTGGCTCCTACGTAGAGTCTGTGTCCTCCAGGAACACAGAAAGCTCCTCTTGAAATGCTTAGCATCAGGGGCTCTGAAAGTTTCTGCAGCTTGGCCTGGCAATGCATGAGGGATGCTGTTTCATTCTGCAGCAAGAAATCTTCCTTCCTTTTATCTATGGTAGCCTGACAGGCCAGGTATGGGGGGTAAAAGAGAAGTTTTAGAAGGAAGGTTAAAATCTTCCTTGAAAAAACAGTCTGATGGCCTCAGAATGGACTGAGGTGGTTCGTGGTGGTGAGGGTAGGTTCTGAGTTCCAATTCTGGTCTATTCTGAATGATTTCAAGAAAGCCTGTTAGCGTCCCTGGGCTCTACTTAATAGTTGTGAAATAGAGTTGGCACATGTAAACTTAATAGTTTATTAAAAGACTCAAACCCTAGCAGTGAGCAGTACAAAGCTAATTTTTAACTAGAAGTAAAATTTCCTTTGAGAATGTAGATTGGTATGGATGATAAACCATTTTTTCAGAGATGAGTTAAGTGTACTCTGAACACTTAACTTTCCCTTCATTAATTCTTTCAGTGATAATTTGAGTATTTAAGAATACTAGAATTGAAAAAAAAAGAATACTAGAATTGGGGGATTTTTTTTGTTCATGTGGTTTTTGCACTTGTAAATTACAATCAAAGTGAATTGCTTCAATATGAACTAAGATTGTTCCGGTGTTGAGGCCAAACCCAGACAAACTGAAAGATCAACTTTCAGTTAAGCTGCCTCTGGCCCAGGGAATTAGGATGGTCTCTGAGAGCCCTTTCTTGGTGTCCATACCCCATCATCCCTGAGCTGGTGAATAACATGGATATTAATCACATGATGACATTATATTATATGGCACAGGGTGACTTTAAGAAGTGCAAAGCAGCCTGTTGTATATTACCTAATCACATGAGCCCTTCAATGAATCAAGTTTCATCTAAACATGGCAGAAGGTGTGGGAAATTCCTGTATTGTGCTGAATTCCCCAAAAGAAGGGAAGTCAGAAAGCCTAGAAATAAGAAAATTATCTCATTCACCCTTTTTTGGTCAAAAGTGGACTTCCTCTGGGCATAAAGATATGAAGTAAGTGCATCCGACACTCTGTTTTCAGTTTGGGGTACACTATGCAGAGGCCCACTCACCCTGTACTACATCTCTGTCTTGAAGAATTATGAACTACTAGAATGCATGTTGTTTTTGGACATTAAGCACACTGTAACTTGTTTTGTGGCAATAAAAAACTGTCTTTTAGAGAAAGTAGCCAGAAGACTTCAGTCACTTATAAAATTCTAATGAGAAAGATGCAGGCCACAAGATCAAAAAGGTAGAGTCTAAGCCTCATGTCAGAGTGCAGGAATCATGAAGATAAATGCTAAGATGTGTTACCACCAGTCTCTTCTGGAACTCCTGCTCATCATCCCTGAAGGAATGCTCCATGAATACAGCAATGGCTTCCTTCTCACAGGCTCTGTGCACATCCAGTAGTTCCTGGAGTGTGTCTGTGGGGAGATTCATGCGCTGGACCATCAGCTTGCTGTAGTGGTCAGCTGCCTTCTGCACAGCGGCTGAGTTCTCACGCTGGGCCAGGGTCATCACTGCATTCTCCAAACAAGGCACGGCCCCACTGTTGATGGCATCCACGTAGGTCTTCACCAGACTCCCCAGACCTGAGTGACAGGAAGTTAAGAAAGAAATACAAAGTTCTTATTCATTGTTTGTAGAAGATTTTGGCCTAGTGTTATAAAAAATAACAAAAATGCTATTGATCTTAAAGTTTTATTCTCCTCCTCTTTCTGCTTCCTTCTCTCCTGCTCCTCATTTTTCTGGTCCTCTATGAATCAATATAAATTTAATAACACCCCCCTTTCCCTCTAGGTTCTCTTTCCTTTGTGGCTCTCACATTCATCATATTAAAAAATTGAATTACTGATTGACAATAAGAAGGTTTAAGGTTTCTTAGAAAAAAAAAACTCTACAATTTCAAGAAAGTAAAAGTTTGTTAGTCACAGAACGTAAATTACATAATTTTTAAGTCTTCATTCCAAAGGAAAATCCAAGTTCCCTTGAGAAAAAAAATCATCAGAAATTTGAAGATGGCAACACAGGCCACGGAACCCAGCACAGAGGCATCTCAGCAGGGGAAATAGGTGATTCCACACCTCAAATATCCATGAGACCTGGCATGCTTAAATCTGTTTCTCAAAAGAATTGATTGGGACTTGTGGCCTGCTGCCTGTGTCTTCACTGGTGTCAATTCCTAAAATGATTTGCATATTCAAATTGAGAACTACGCTTCCTATGGGACTCCAAGCCATCTTGCACATTTCTGTCCTTAGGAGTCATTTGCACCTGTCTCTTTATCTTATTAGTTTTGTGAGATGTCATAGACCTCAATAAACCCTCATATACAGAAAGTTTAATTATGGAGCATGTATTTGTATGTGTGCTATGAACATCTGCTTCTTCATTTTCCTTAATATAAGCAAACAAAGTTTTCAAGGCTGAAAAAGAATCATAGCTTCATCACATACCCTAAGCCACAGAGACATGACCTAGACTAAAGAAACTCATGATTTCCAGTGACAGCAATCCCTTCTCTCAGAGTTTTGGTCTTTGCATTGGTGAAGATATAGGAACAGAAATTTTTTGATTCAACCTAGAAATTCCATTCCAGTTGGTTTTCTGGAACTTTTTCAATTTAGGATAATAACTTCCTGTTACTTGTAGGCCAATCAAAGACAAAACACTTCCGTTCTGGAAAGAAGTATCTGATGCATTCTCTAGACATGTTAGCATTTTGGATTTTGGGATTTTCTCCTGTAAAAAGAGCACTCATGAAAGAGACAGTTAGCAGACAAAGTGACTGACAACTCTCCAAGAATGTTTACATGGCTATTGTGTTGATAAATCTTCCTTCATCCAACTGTAGCAACAATTAGCCTTTAGCTAATCAGTGGAGGGAACATCCAGTTCTGGGCTAAACTAAGAGCAAAGGAAGTATAAGACTTCTGGAAAAGAAAGGGAAGTATTCCTCTCAAGGGAGACAATTGGTTTCCTTAGCCCTCATATGGTAGCTGGTGGATGGACTACTTATTAAGGGTTTGGAATAACTGATTAATAAAAAAAAAGTATTAGAAAAACTTTTCTGATATTTCAGTCCCAGTTTAGAAATGAGACATAGGCTCTAAATCTATGCTAGAAATATGAATAAAATGCTGCCCAGAAAAAAATATATAAGGATGATGATTCCCAGGTGGGCAAAGAAAAAGGTTTAAAATTGGAGCAAAAATATAAAAGTCACTATTATGTTTCCAAAGTCCTTTATAACAAAGCTCCAAATTTAATTTAATTGTGATTCAGAGACCTCCCTAGTGATCATATTGGATTTGACATTGTTTTGCAGAGGCTCTGCTATATAAATCTGCTGTTTAAAATAAATATCTGTTTAAAGAATGGCCAGATAGATGAATAAAAATGGATACTGTGCTGACTAGTTTTGGTCAGCACAAACTGGAAGCATCTGGGAGGGGACAGAGCATTAACTGAGGAACTTCCTCCACCAGAGGAAGAAATGTGGGCATGTCTGTGAGATATTTTCTTGATCACTGACTGATGTAGGAGGGCCCAGCCCACTGAGGGCAGTGCCATCCCCGGGCAGGTGAGCCTAGGCTGTAAAAGGGAGTTTTGCTGAGCAAGCCAGAGGAAGTACGCCAATGAGCAGCATTCTTCCACGTTCTTTGCTTCAGTTTCTGCCTGTGTGTCCTCGATAATGGACTGTGATGCGGAAGTACAAGCCAAATAAACCCTTTCCTCTCCTAGCTGCTTTTGGTCAGAGTCTTTTTTCACAGCAACAGAGAAAAAACGAAGACCTGTTGACTCGTTGCACCACTATTTTACCTATTAATATAATTCATGTAATGAATATGCAATATCAATAAGGCAATGTTACATAAGGCTTTAAGATGAAAAAAGAAAGACTGATGTTATTAGAGACGCACATTTGAGGGCCCCTGGAACTATTTAGTGTATACATATCTATTCTTTCCTATTCGGGCTAGTAAAAGGAACTCTGGGGACAATGTTACAAATGTTATTAGGTCAATGGATTTCCTACATCTCTTGGGTCTTGACACTTCTTTTTTGATGAGTGATTTTTCTCAAAATAGACTATGAAGAACGGCTAAATTAATACAAGCAAAACACACAACCAAGTCTTAGTAAGTGAGAGTGTATATTGTAATCCTCACTTTTATGTTTTCATAATACTCAGTGGTCTAAATACTTGGAACAACATGTCTCTAAGGTAAGTGAGTTTAAATCTTAGCTTCCGAAGATTTTCAAATAATAAAAACTGTCAAAATCATGGCCACCTGTCAATTGACAGCCACCACTGACAAGGGTTTCAATCCAGTCTCAAACACCCACGTCAAGTGCTGAGTAGGGTTTAGTTGGTCCCACGTCCCTGTTGCACCTTCCGCCACCCAGGCCAGGCTCTGATACCTGGAATCAGCTTTAGCGCATTCTCCAGGTACTCATCTTCTGTGACGGGGTGTCCATCTAACTTCAGCTCCAGAGTGAAATCCCGAACAGTCCAGACAAAGTTTGGAAAGAAACACGAACTCACTGGAGTCCCCTGCTTCATCATGGCTTGACCTGGTTTTGCCCTGATTCGCTGTGTCAGTTCAGTCACGTAGCTGGCATCTTAACTAAGGAAATGAAACAAAATAACTTCCCGATCTAAGTTAGAAGCAAGTATTATAGACATTCTGTGCCACTCTAGTTTAATCAAGATAGCTAAGTAAGAGCAAAAAGAAATGGTAAGTTGCCATCCTCCTCAACTCAGTGATCCATGGAGGTTCAGTCCCAGGAAGGATACTGCAGCTGCTCCGGGACCTGGTGGTTGATGGTGCTCATGCTGTTGTAGACAAAGGTGCTGCTCAGAAGCACGGCCAGGGTGAAGATCCACGAGTCATTTTTAGGGTCACCCTAGAAGACATAGGAAAGCAAGGGAATTAAAACAGTAGCATTAATTCATGCGTTCATTTTTTTTGTTCATTTGTGCTTTCAGATATGCTATTGTTGAATCTGAGAGAAATCACAAAATTTGAATCGCTAAATTCAAACCAAGTATTGATACTTACATTGATCCTTAACAGGCCATTAGCTTGTTTAGCTACTAATGTGACTGATAGTTCTGGGATATAGCTCAGTGACACTGAGATTGGTTAGCACGTGCAAGGTCTGATTTAGGGTCCCAGGAGTAAAAAATGAGGAGGAGGAAGAAGAGGAGGAGGAGGGGAAGGGGAAGAAGATGAAGAAGAGGAAGAAGAAGAGAGGAGAAGAAAGAGGAGGAGGTTGAGGAAGACAACATTTCAATGGTATAAAACAGCTCCTAAATATTTGAAACATAGTAGACATCCAGAAATAAGTGGGCAAGTACTCCTTCATAAATTTCATCTTGGTATAGATATGCCAGGGACACAAATGCTGTTCAATTAAATTCAGCAAGTCTTCTTTGAGTCTCTGTCAAAGTGTAAGAGCTTGCATTTGGTCTTCTGGATATCAATTTCCATATGGCTGCCCTCAGGAAGATAACTTTCTACAGTGGCAACTGAACATGTCAACACATAAATGCAACCACACAATGATAATCTCTGCCAGAGTAGAACCAAAATTTTAAAGTAACAAACTGGGGTGGGAAGGACCATAGAGGGGAATCTGAGCAAGAAATAGTTACATTGGAGAAGACTGTGTCTCACCTTTTCCACATCACCCAGGCCCTCAGTGTCCAGGAGGACCAGGGTGTGGTTTGGCTTGGTGGGGTGGAGCACACACCACATCCAGATGCCCTTGGTTTCAGACTGCACCGTGGAGCCCAGAGGGAGGCCTGAAGGGAGGAGGAGAAACAACAGGAGGAAGGAGAAGGTTGGTGAGAGTGGGAAGAAGTTTAACAAATACCAAGGAAAGAGCTGCTGCTATTTCAGCAAGGCAGTGAGTTCAGTCTTCATACATGCTTCACAGGCTTTATCAAGAAACATTTTTTGACCTCTAGTCACCTCACTCTTACAAATGCTCAGACGGTGATACAGCACAGCGTTGTTTTAAACTCTAGTATCTGGTTTAGCGCTCCCATGTCCTTCGGAGGAGTCCAGTAGAGATCAACCACTGAGAAGCATCAGCAAATAACCACCTAGCAGCTTGTGTTCCTGCAGCTTCAGTCTTGGTGGCCAGTGGCTGCCAGGGGCTTATTCCTCCTGTAATATGGCACCTTCTTGACCATAGCTATGTCATGTTGAAGTTTAGGCTCACTCTAGCCTCTGAAATTTTCAGGCAGTTGGTCCAGGTAGGGGAACACATGTCAGCAGGACTCCAGGTTGTCTTGGAAACAGGTCAGCATGTTCTGGAGTGTACCTACTAACTGCAGATTTATGGTTTCTGTAGGTTATGCTTGACTTGCTTCTGGAAAATAGTAATTGTTGTTTAATAGAATAGAAATTGTTAAGGGGGCTTTCCACTTGTAAGCTTGGGAACTTAAACTTTTCACCTCTGGTTATGGATAAAAGCTTAACCTAGAGACGGCTCAGGGCTTCACTTGGGTTCTGAAACCCTTGTGTAGTCACTGGCAAGCTAATGAAAGACTGTCATCTGGCAAAACTTTGAGTGGTCTTCTCTGGTGAAACACCTCACAACGCTCCCTCAGGTCAGTTCCTTCCTTGGAGCTCCATCCAATAGTTCCCCTTCCACATGCTGGCAGTCCCTTTTTTCTTGCCTCTTTAGAGTTGGGGGTGACATATTTACCTGGCCATTCTTAAGGCTGCTCACAAAATGCATGCTCACACCTATCGGTTCCATTTGCCCTCTCTATACCTTGTAAAGAGTAGTTCCGTTCAATGTTCCTCCATTACCCATGACTGGATGCTATAGTTTGGATCTGGAATATCCCCAAAGGGCCCCTTTGATTGTAATCGTTTTGTCAATGGAATGTTGAAATGAAAATTAGTGAAAGCTTTTTTTTTTTTTTAGAGTTTTAGCAATATTTTTATTCTTTGAAAATTTCATACATGTATACAGTGAATTTTGATCATATCAACCCCCAGTCTCCACCCCAACTTTCTCCAGAATCCCTCCAACACATCTTTCTCCCAGCTTCCTGTTCTTTGTAAATTAATTATTTTTAACCCACTGAGTTCAATTAATGCTGCCCAACTGCACATGGGTGTGGATCCACCTTTAATGCAAACTTTAAGCAATAGGGACAGATGGGAATTCTTCACGTTTTGGGTATTCCTTTGAAGAAGACTATAGGGCTCCAGTCTCTCCCTGTAAATGAAAATATTGGCAATCTTTAAGGACCTGTGAGGGGTATGAGTTGATCTCTTCAGTGTTAATAATGTTTTATTTCTTGATCTCGATAGTAAATACATGATGTTCACTTCATGTTCTTTAGCTTTCTTGTCAATATTTGCTTTATGTACGTGGTGTGTTATGATTCGCATGCATGTTATAAATGTCTAGAGAAACAAAGGGCTAATGGTGTCAGGCATGGCAGCGCACACCTTTAATCCAAGCTCGGGAGGCAGAGGCAGGTAGACCTCCGTGAGATTGAGGCTAGCCTGGTCTGCATAGTGAGTTCCAGGCCAACTGGGGCTATGGGGAAACACTATCTCAAAAACAAACAAGTAAAAACACAAGAGAAAGGAGTAATAATTCATTTAAAAAATGCTATGATGAATTCAGTCAGTCTCAAAGAGACAAATATCTTTTTTCTCTCTCATTTTGGGGTTCTATATTTTATGTAGACACATAAATCATATATGTATAGATGACATAAAAATGGAAGGAAAACTACCTAGGGGAACAAAGGGAAATTATGGGACAGGAGGTAGAAAGAGAACTGGGGGAGATGTGCTCAGAGTACATCATACAAATCCATGAAAATTGCCATAAGGGGGACTGGAGAGATGGCTCAGCAGTTAAGAGCACTGACTCCTTTTACATAGGACCAGGATTCAATTCTCAGCACCCACATGACAGTTAACAACTGTCTGTAACTCCAGTTCCAGGGAATCTGATGCCCTCTCCTGACCTCTGAGCGCATTGCACCAAATGGGTGTACTTACACACATGTAGGTAATACATTCATACACATAAAATAAAAATAATAAAAATAAAATTTAAAAACAGAGAAAAAAAATGGCCATATGTAACCCAAAATAGTAAAATAAAATAAATTTCAAAAAAGATTTGCCTGTTTTCCTCCATGGTCTCTGCTTCAGTTCCTGCCTCCAGGGTCCTTTCTTAAACTTTTGCCCTGGCTTCCCTCCATGATGGACTGTAAAGTGTAAGGTTAAATAACCCTTTCCTCTCCCATCCACCCACAAAGATTAGCCATGAAAAAGAAGAAAAAAAAAAAAAAACCAGAAAACAAAAACATAAGAAAACTTACATAGACTTCATTGTTATCCAGTTTAGATGTTGGGTATACAGTTAGCCTACTATGCATCTTTCAGCCCATCCATTTTTTTTAATGAAGCAGTATTTGTGTGCTATGTGCCGTGTACACATGGGTTAGGCAAGTGTACAGCAGGAGGAAAGAGCACATGGCGGCACTCAACTGCTGAACAGGGGCGAGTGGAAGGAATCAGAGAAACACTGGGGTAGGTGTTTTCATAGAGTCGGGGAACTATGAATATAAGAGTATGGCTTCTCACATATGTCAAAGGTTATAGATTTAATGATAAGAATGAGATTTTTCTTCAGTGGAGGGATGAGGCTCTTCTTTAAGATGACCCTAGAAAGGTGTGATCAGCTCACACTGTCCCTACTCCAAGCAGATGGCCCCTATCTCAGAAGGATACTCACCATGGTTTTGTCCTGCAAGACGATTCATGAGGTAGGACTTTCCTGTGCGATATAGGCCAACGATGACCACCACCACCAAGGGCTGAGAAATCTTGTCAAGAATCTGTATGGCTTCAGGATTCACTGCCAGCTGCTCCTTCCAGTTTTCTACTAGACAAATGGGTGCCTTCATGATGGATTCAGATGCCACGGCAGCCTGTAACTCAAAACAGTCACTTAGTGAAATCCATGGCCTGGATATGGAGGTCATGTCCTCTTGGTTATTCAAGGCAGAGGTGTATCAGCTTCTTGTTTATATAACATGTGTATCAACTTTCCAAATTTTGTATGATTCTATAGGAAAAAACAGGTTTATCATTTCAGAGTCTGGTACCTCATGTACAATACCTTGTGATTTTTATCAGAACTATAAGAAACTCTTGCCTGGCCTTTCAAAGAATAGCCCAGGAAAAGCAAATCACTGACACCCCAGCCCTGAAAGCCTCTGTTATTGTAGTAAGTAGAGGCAAAATGCAATGATGAAGTTGAAAAGTTGTTAGAGAAGTTTCCAGGCATTCGAAAATAATTTGAAGTCTCATTTACGATGTGAATGTTTATTGAATACCTGCTATGTGTTTGGTGCCCTTTATCAAGGAGTCAACAAATAGATGCAAATTTCTGCTGATAGACCTCTATTCAAGTGGGACAGATAGTAAGACAGAGAAGATGATGATTGATAGATAGATGATAGAAAAATAGGTAGATGATAGATATAGATTAGATAGATAGATACAGATACGATTGATAGATGATGGATAGATGATAGATAGATGATAGATGATAGATAGATAGATAGATAGATAGATAGATAGATAGATAGATAGGTGAATGATAGGTAGATATGATAGACAGATACACATACAGATAGATATAGAGGGCAATAGTAAGTTCCTAGAAGAAAATAAGCAGAGAACGTAGTGGGAACTTTGGGGTGAATCCTGTTATAGTCAAGGCCAGCCTTCTCCCACAAGACAAAATGAAGCATCTGAGCGACTTTGATGAGGACAGTTGTCTGCAGTCAGGAAAGCACTGAGGGAGGAGAAAGCAGGCTGGGGGAAGGTACCCCAACAGAGCACTCCTCAGGACTGCTGAGTTTGGCTTTTCTGCTGATACAGGGCTTCCTTCCCTTTAAGTTCCCACTGCCTAAATTGCTTTCACTTTTCAGCCTCCCTCCCTAGCTGGACTTTTGGCTGCGATATGGGGTTAAAGATACTGGGGACACCTGGGGACAATGGGGGCGGGGTGCTCGGCAGCCTCACTCACAGAGCTGGCCTCACACTGTGAAGCCACCTGCGGGCCCGCAGGTTCCCGTGCTCACCTTCCAATTTGAGTCTTCAATCACAAAGTGTATTCTGTGTGCTCAGGAGGGAGGGGTGGTGATGGCGGATGGCGGGCGGCCAGCGGATGGGGGGATGCGGGTGGTGGCGGCGGGCAGCGGGGCGCGGGGGGGGGGGGAATGAGTACATAATGTGATAAATTGAGAAAAATGTAGTTGCAACTCACCAGGTGCTGGGTCTGCGGTCAGGGAACAGATTCTCAGCTACTTAAACTCACTGGTCTTCGTCTTCAACATCCTCTGTTCTCAGAAGTTACAAATTAACAGCCACCCCAAAACAAGTTCAGATGAGGAGACTCCAAATTGAAACTACAAGACTTTTCAGATGAATCAAAGGCTGAGGGCTTTGTACCATATTCAGTTAGTGAAAAAAGATAAGAAAACAAAACAAAACAACAACAACAGCAATTTAAAAACCCAGAGTCTGTGAGCTGAGTTCAGCTGGAGGAATTCCTGTTTGCTCTGGACTTTCTGAAGTTGCCCTGAGGCGTTTGGCACATGGCAGTCACCACTGCTCTGTCCACCCTGCCACCACTCAAATCAGTGAAATCAGTTCAGATGAAGCCATTCTCGGCGGTTTACATCTGTAATTCCATCATCATTCCAGAGGCTGCAGCAGGAGGATTGCCACAGATGCAGTTCATCCTGGGTGACAACAAATTCCAGGGCAGCTTGAGATACAGTGTGAGACCCTATCTCAAAAAAAATATAATAAATAAGATAAAATTATGCTTGAGCCACATCACTCCAGTGACCCTTGGCACTCCCCTGGCCACACTCCCACTTTCTTGTATAGTCTGAATTTCCTAGTATCTCAGTGTATTGACTTGCAGCAAATGAGTCTGATGTGACCAGAGAGCACCTAAGCCAGGTCCTGGGTGGACCCCCAGACAAGCTCAGCTTGGTGAAGGGAAACTCAGTGTCAGTGCTTTGCTTGTACAGCACAGCACCGAGAGAGAGAGAGAGAGAGAGAGAGAGAGAGAGAGAGAGAGAGCCCTTTTCTCATTTGCACCATTTTCTAGATGTTGCTCAGGTTGTTATTTTTATTCTTATCGTAGTTGTTTGTTTGTTTTTGCTGTTGTTTTAAAGAGACAGGGTCTCCTGGCTAGTCAACTCCCTTTGTAGCAGAGAATGGATGGATGACTTTGAACTCCTGATCCTCCTGCCTCCATTTTCCAAGTGCTGGGATTACAGGCATGTGCCACCACACATGGCTTTATGAGGTGTTGAAGAGCTGCTAACCTAGGGCTTTGTACATGCTGCTAGGCAAGGACTCTACCAGCTGAGCAATAATCCCAGCCCTTTTTAAGTTGACGTTTTAAATATGTGACTGAATTTCATGTCTATTCCAACCTCTCTTCTTTCTTTCCCGTCTAAAAGGGGAAGGGTGACAATTATTTATTTTCTTTTTTTTTGAGACAGAATCTCCCTGTAGCTCCAGCTGTCCTGGAACATACTAGGTAGACCAGGTTGGCCTTGAATTCACAGAGATTCACCTTCTGCCTCCCAAATGCTGGGTGGGATTAAAGGCATGCGCCACTGTGCCCAGCCGACAATTATTTCTTTCCAGACATTACTTTCCACAATCGCTGCTGAAGATGACTAAGGGGATCCACACTAGAGTACCCCACTCTCTGTCTGTGGTGCCCAAGGGCCAAGGCTATGCAAGAATCTGCTATCCAGAGCTCTGAATCCTTTAGCCCATTGGCTCTACACAGCTATATCAGCACTATAACCCCCCCTCCACACACACACACACACACACACACACACACATTAGCTAGAGTACAGAACTGGGCAGAGGGCTGCAAGAGCCCTTTCTGTTAGGGTAATCTGCTTGGTGTGCACTGTCTGGCAAGTAATTCACAACTTGTGAGTTGGAACAGTCCAGCTTGTCCCCTGTACAGCCTGTGGAGGTTAATGAAAGCCATTGTGTGTGCAATTTCCATTTGTGTAATCTCTGCATTATAAATAGGGCAGTGTAAATGAGGACAGTCATGTCTGATTGAAGCTCAGTCCAGGGCAGAGGCTCCATTCTCCAAGGGAAGGGCTGCAGCTGTGTGTGATCAGATTGCAGCACTCTAAGTCTAGAGTTTGACTCTAGGGGAGGCTTGTTTGGGAATTCCAGAGCAAGCTTTTGAAAATTCCCTAATGAGGTTCTGTTTCATTTTCTGGTCACTTATTAATGGCCTTCCCTCCATAATTATATATATTACATTATATTATATTATGTTATATATTAACATATATGTATACATATATAGGTGGATAGATCATTGTAGATAGTGTATTTATACAGAAATTCCTAAATTCTCAAAATAATTGAAACATTTCTGTTTCTGAGCATATTGGACTTGGACAAGGGATACTCTACCCTCATAGAATAAATGTAAAATTAAATAGTATAATTTAACTTTCTTTGGGAAAGCAGTTTTTCACCACAAAGATCAATGGGGGCTCAAGAACTAAGTGCTTTTCAATTATAAAGACAGATTTGCATTCTCTTTGCTAGGCAGAGTTTCTGTTCAATACTCAAAGACATGTACAGGTTCTCAGACCCCATGAACCTGGACATTCTAAGTCCCTGGTATTGCGGTCTTGTGTACACTAAAATTTTTGCCTGTACATGGAAGTATTCTTTGTTTTTCTTAGACTCTGCCATTTCTTTATTTTTTTTTAAGTGTTTATGTATATGTATATTGTGTGTGTGTGTGTGTGTGTGTGTGTGTGGTGGTATGCCTGTGAGTGTGGGTACTTGTTACAGTGTGAGTGTGCAGGTTAGAAGATAGCCCCAGGCGCAGGTCCTCCCCTCTCACTTGATTTGAGACAAAAACTCTTGTTTGCTGCATCTTCCAGCCTAGCTGACCTGTGAGCTTCCAGGGATTCTCCTGTCTCTGCCTCCTATCACTGAGATGACAGATTTTCTGAGGGCTTCTGAGATCTGAACTCGGTATCTCATGGGTGTGTGCCCCAAAAGGACTTGGATATGGTTCAAAAAGGCTAAGAAGAGTAGAGAAAAGGGCTTCCTGGAAACAACTTCCATTTTCAATATGGAGAAATTCACTCCTTCATCCATGTGAATCAGTGAGAGCATCTTCTGTTCCCATTTTCTGGCCTAGTACTAGCGTCCTAGTTAGTACCCTGGTTGGGTCCTTCAGTATCCAACCTAATTAATAAGATAATCAAGAGCAGTTACTCTGGTGTGGGAAACAGAGGGCCATAAGGGCCAGTTTATGTTTAAAAAACAGGACCTGTAGGGGATATTCAACACAGGCCAAGATGGCTAATGATAGACACCCAGAGGGAATGAGTCAGCACAAATAGCTGACTCTGGATGTCTGGATACCCCCAAAGTAAACACTGATGTAAGTTATTTTATAACTATTTTTGGCAGAATACCACTTAGTGTGATTCTGTATAAATATGCCCTTGAGGTCACAGGCCTGAGTTCTCTACCCTCACCAGCCTGCCCGTGCCCATGCATATCTGTCTGTGTGTCTGTGTGCTCTCCTTCACTCAGCCTGTGCCAGTCTATGTGTCTTTCTGTGTCTGTGTGGCCCGTGTTTGCCTGCATGTGCCTGGTGCCTCAGGTTGCTGCCTGTCTAGCAGTCTTTGTGCTGGTGAATACACTATGTCTTAGCTGCTCATGGCTTCTTGAAATCTCTTCAACCCCCTGGCCTCCCATGACCTTCTCCTTTCCTGGAATAGGAGCTTGGACCTCACACCTGGCCATACAGATATTATTATGCATGTAACATAAAAAGTTTACAGCCAAACTTGCCAGTTAACGGGATCCCTGATGAGCCATAACAGGTTCTAGTTAACTGTGAGTGTATTACCTTTAACAGTCCCTAGTCATTGCTTGTTAGGTTGAAGTCCTTATGTAATATATAGGATTACACATGTATATGCTCACAGGTTTCTTGATCTTAACAAGATGATTGTGTCTCCGCCACTGAATTAACAATATTTACCATGTGACTTGTTATATATATATAACTGAATTTTGAGTGTAATGAACAGAGTTTTTGAGTTTTATTTGATTTCAAATCCTGTCAAGTTGACAACCAATGTCAGTGATTACTCTGTTTATCTGTCTACCTACCCATCTAATATTTTATGTATAAAGTAAAAGGAGTATATATCCTTGAGCATTCCTGTTTGTGCATGTATTCTTTTTCAATTTAATTAAAAAAATTTTAGTATGTCATATAGGAGTTCACTGTAGCTACATTATTTCACCTCTCCCCCTCCCCATTCCAATTCTTCCAATATGCCCCCTATCAAATCCCTCTTGAATTCATGACTTCTTCTATATGGATTGTTACATTTATATATGTGTGTATCTATCAATATACATTTACATATACAATCTACTACATACAGATGTGTGAAACTATATACATAAAACCTACTACATATATAACTATACATATGTAACCTACCAT